AAAATAAGTTATATGAGATGTCAATATTATCATACTTAAGGGGGCTTCGCATACATTTCTAATGAAGTGAGTTGGTTAGATTTGGATTTTAATTGCCGGTTTTATTTGACAAGATAAAGTTAAGGTCTCATCAAGATAGAATTAGACGAAAGCCTCGTAACATGAGATAGAGAGAATAAATAAAATATAGCAATGATTACGACTGATGCCCAATTATTTCTACACATCAATCCACAATAAACCCTGCTGCAAGCATTATGTTCAAAATCTTTTGCTAATGCGCTAACTTACTCTACAAAATACCACAACTTATAGGCTTAAAAACTTGACCTGACCAAAGCCAGGGTCACGAATAAGGGAGCAAATCTCCCTGTTGCCAAAATTATCCAACTAGAGTGGAGAATAACTGAATGCAGACTACTGATAGGCTTGAATTCACCTTAAGTAGAAAGTGCATCATGGTCGATATTTACCCTCGGGCCGAAAAGAAATCAAGCTGACTTTTTGTCAGAACCGTTTTTAATGCGAAACATTTTTCGCCAATTTTCAAATCAGAGTAGGCTTCGAATGGCCTTTATTATTTTACTTGTCTCCTATCCCTTCGTTTGCATCATGGTTCATTGCGAATTCTTCATATTTCACCTCTTGTCCATTTGTTAATATAATAATGAGTGACATACTTCGGCAGTCGACTTGGACTCTTCACTACTAAGAGCATAAATGCATACAATAATGTCAAACTGGCAGTAGGTGAGATAAATAAATACCGTCGTTTCATCGAGGCTTCCTGCAACTTGTTTGTAATGGTGATCACTTCTTCTCGGAATTGTTCTCGTGGGTCGCGCTTTAACTTCTGGCCCTCTCCGTATCGATGTCGAGCCACGCATACGGCATTACAGCGACCAACTCGCGTCTGTTCGGGGAGAGAAAATACTTCGGCTTCGTCGGCAGCAGCGATATCTTGCCCAGAAGTGGGTGTCACCGGCATGGGCTCCTCTTCACTTTCGATAGATGAGATCGACTTCAAAGGGGCACGAGTGCGTACGACCCAGCGATCAGGGTTATCTACATCTATAGGATCAATGCTCTGTCCCTCCGCTAAGTCGACCAGGTCAGGCGACCCAGCCCGACGGCGTAAATCGGCAGAGAAGAGACTGAATTGAGCAAAGTAACCACGCTTCAAAGGCTCAATCTGATTTATAGTAGAAGAATAGTTGGGATGATAAGAGAGTAGAGAAAATCACAGAAAGTTGATTGGGGTGTTCAGAAATGTATTATTGTGTAGATATTGAGTTTTAAAGGACTTAATAAATAATTTATTCTGAAGTGTACAAATGAATACTTTTATTAGAAAGACAAAATAATAATGCTGGAGTACTTTTCATTTCGTTTAAAGAGGCGAGTATAGTTGATCCACTCGTCTCCTTAAACGAAACAAAAGGTACAGGTAAGGGATTCTTTCAAACCCATTTTTGTTACATACAAAAAGATAAGTTTGGCTGATCATTTGACCGGTATATTTTTATTAATTTTTCATATTCAATTATCAGGAGACATTTTGACGGCGCCTGTTGTTCGCATGAGGAAGCCAATTTTTGCTAAATCGAGGCCAGTAACTTAATAAGAGTTAGCGAATATAAGGCCTGGAGGACAGATCTATTCAGCCAAAGTAGTCCTTGTGCTGCATCTTAGCTTATTTGCATCCATAAAGACATCTTCGATTTATAGAATTGGTATGACCTTGTTTTCACAGCTTGTTCGATTTGTCAGGGTGGCTTAGCCGGGCATACTTTGTCAAATTCCTCTGTTATTGTAGTTATGCTTATTCCTACTTTGGACCGTGGACTTGGCACATTGACAGACATTTCGCTGGCATCGTCACTGAGTCTTGCCATTTTCGACACGAAGCTAAAACTGGTACAAGAGAGAAGTAGCCTGATACTTGCTGCTATTTCTAAGGCATAACTCTGATAATTATCATCTCTGAGGACACGAGCAAGTTTTGAAAACGAAGTTAAACCAAATTTATACCTCTAAACGAGGCTGCGACCGAGATAGAGGCCACAATACCTTGATCAGCATTTCTACGCTTGATGCTTTATAGTT